ATTTTTTGATTTTTTATTGTAGAGATGAGGTCTCGCCTGCCCAGGCGGGTCTCAAACCCGCCGGCTCAGGCAATCCACTCACCTCAGCCTCCCAAAGGTGCGGGATTACAGGCTGAGTCACCGAGCCCGGCTCACTTAGTCACTTCTTAAGCCCAGTGAAGTTACCTTCTCAAATCCAAGAATCTGGCATTTGAACAACTTAGGTGTTTCTCTCCCTCTGAAGCCTAACAATAGTCTTAATACTCTTCTCTCTCCTTTCTCTTTTTCTCATTTGAATCTGTCTACTTGCTTACTTCAAGAATATCCAGCCTTTTCTAAATATACCCATCCACTCGAAGTAGTTTGCTTTGTACTCTCTCTAATGATTTCATAAATGACTACATGAGGTGCATATGTCTCTTGACTCCATTGTGTTCTGTCCTGCAGAGTCAATGCTGTTTTGTGGGATTCTTCATGCTAAGCCTCCCCTTCCAAGTAGTGTTTCAATTTTGGATAAAAGATATAAACAGTATATACATTAGTTTGCTTCAGCTTGGGTACACCATTGAATATCAATCATATGACAAGAATTTATTTCAGCATAGGCTATCAAGAAAGTACTACATACAGATTTGTAAGTACTCACATATTTTTTTAAAATGTAGACCATCCAGCTATCTTTCTCCTATATGCCTTTATGAGTATCAAATGCAAAGTAAGAAAACAGAAGCTTTTCCTTTTTTTTTGCCCCCAGTGTGATTTGTCTCACCTTTCTAGGTCCTGTGCTCTTTAGTTCAAACACATCCATTGTGTAATTGACTCTGCGTCCATAGTGGTCAAATTGAACGTTCCCTGTCAACCCTTGAATTCGAACCTGAGTGAAAAGGGAAACCCACACATGTATTCATTTATCATTTCACTTACAGACATCTCAACTTCATCTGATAGGTTTACGACTACACAAGGAGGTAGAACTATCAACAACTTACTGAAATGCCATCGAGCATTTGAACTATTGGGATAGAATCTGAAAGAGGAATATCAAAAGGATGTGTAAGCAATTCTGCTACATACCTGGAAGATGAAGGGGCTTTATTCATTTTAATATTATAAAGTTTTCACTATAACAGAATTCGTTCTCAATTATAAAATATTTTTATGGGAATGGTTTGGTTACTTTTCAGCTTTATCTATATATCCACATAATGAATTAAGTAGCCCTGATACCCATGATAGATCATATTTTTACCTAGCTAATATGAAGATTTAGCTATAAGAAGTGAAAACATACAAACATATTTTTGAAAAAATTCAGGTATATTTTATCACCAATTTGCTTTTTTTTTTTTGAGTTGGAGTCTCACTCTGTCACCCAGACTGGAGTGCAGTGGCCGCTTCCGGCCACCGCAGCCTCGCCTGCTGGGCTCTGGCGATCCTTCCGCCTCAGCCTTCCGAGTAGCCGGAATTACAGGCATGCGCTACCACGCCTGGCTGATTTTTTGATTTATTGTAGAGATGAGGTCTTGCTGCCCAGGCGGGTCTCGAACCCGCGGGCTCAGGCAATCCACTCACCTCAGCCTCCCAAAGGTGTGGGATTACACAATTTGCTTTTAATTACTTATACTTTGGACCCACGACATTTCAAAACATTCAAAGTGTAACATTAAATACATATAATCTTAATTATTTGAAAAGTAGTGCTAGTGTAACTATAAAAGACTAAAATAAACCGATTATTTGATCCAAGTTTACATGGCAATTTAACAATTTACTGAGGTAGTCTTTAGTTGTGTTTGCCAAGTACTTCTAGTTCTTCCTTGGGTTCAAGGTAGGCTTGGACTCCCTTAACCACTTGTGGCTAACTAAGCCTGTGATACTTTTGCTGATATATCAGTTGTAATTAGATGTGACAAGTGCCATTGTTGAGCCACATATTTAATTGATGATTCAAAACCTCCCCACAACAATCTGTTTTCCTTTGTCACACTCAAGCTGGTAGCTGTTCTTCCAGCCTGGGTCCTCAAATGATTCCAAGGAGCTGAGTGCACCTGCTAATCTAGTGGGTAGAGTTTGTGTGAGCACAGCTTCTTCAAAGTTTTAAGCTACCAGGATTTTGGTGGTTTACTACTGCAGCAAAACTTGGCTTATCCTGACTATGCATAAAATATAATCAGCAAGAGTCTACCCTGTATTCTACCTAGAAATGTCTCAAAAATGGACTTGCTAATCTAGTGAGTAGAGTCTGAGTGAGCACAGATTCTTTGTTATAAGCCACTGGAATTTTGTTTTTTTTATTACTGCAGCATAATTTGGCTTATCCTGACTACACATAAAATGTAAACAGCAAGAGTCCACCCTGCATCCTACCCATAAATGTCTCAAAAATGCACCTGCTAATGTAGTGGGTGAATTTTGAGTGAGCACAGCTTCTTTGTGGTTTTAAGCCACCGGGATTTTGGTTGTTTATTACTGCAGCAAAACTTAGCTTCCTGACTAAGCATAACATATAAACAGCAAAATTCTACCCTGTATTGTACCGGAAATGTGTCAAAGATGATGCTGGCTTGGTACATTAAAATGGCAATTATAATATGTATCTATGCCCAAATAAATTAGTCTATTTTTCTAAACATTCTACTTACGCAAGACCACAAAATAATTGAACTTCAGTCAAATTGTGAGTTACCTGCTTGAGCGTCCTTTCCATGTCAATTCCCTGGCCCCACGGAGCGGCAGGATTGGCTAGACAATCGCCAGCATTTCCTCTCCTTGAGATATCAATTTTCTGCCTTCTAAGATTTCGAAAAGTTTCAGCCATCACAAGAACTCCATCATAAGTCAGAGCAGAAGTATACTAACCAAATGAAAGCAATTATAATAATAAATGTTAAAGTCTTATCAAGCATCAGGGATGTCTTGTGGTCTCTGTGGATTTATGACACAAAGTACCATTCTATTTCTAGTTTCTATCTTCACTTTAATGCAAAGATTATATGACAAATCTTATCATTCTGACTTAAAAAGAAAATAACCTACTCTGTAAAATAGAAATTCTAACACACAGTTATCCCTCAGTTGGGAGCAGAAAGACCTTTAGGTGAGGCCTTCCCATTGTGTCCAAGTACAAATAGCTAAAGTATTAAAAAGCTAAGTGCTGTGTTGTTACAGTCTGCCTTGTAGTGTGTTGCCGTGGTTGAGCCTCAGGAAGTCTGAGCTGTCTTAATCTTTTCTTTCTCCAAAATGCCTAACAGTGTTCCCCAGGATTTAATATGTTTATTGACATGTATCTTTGTTTAGTCTCCCAGAAGAATGAGTGGAATGGCTTATTGTTATTCCGAAATGTGATGCCAGAAATAACATCTACTCATTCAGCAACTGTGTAGATATCAGTCACTGTGCTAAGGAATGATTGTTGTTATATCCAATGAGGTTGCTCAGGAAGGTTAAGCCATTTCCTTAAGTTTCCAGCATACCCTAGAATCAAAGTGGAGATATGAAGTGTAGAACATTTGCTTTCTGATAGTCACACCATGCTTCTCTTTGAGAAAAGAGTAAGCCCCCAGAAAAAGGTTAAGATTAGGGGAGTAAGTGAGGAATGATATGAAAATCTTGCTTTTTTAAAAGGTGAAAATAAAAACAGATCACTTTTGGTAGCGTTGATGAGAGAATTACTAAACACACGGAAATAGGGTACTATTTTCTTGAAGCATGACAGAGTATTAACTACCAATCATGATAAAAATTACATTATCTCCTTCAGAAATTCCATATGGTCATTCCGTATGATTAACATATTTTGTGCTAGTACGAGCAGTAGGTGTGTACTTTAGAAATGGACCAGATGATCTCCTTGATTTCTTTCTGCTTTGAAATGAAGAAAAATCTTTTGAAATTCCAATTGTAGAAAATAAACATAGGCAAAATGACTACTAAACATAGCAGCCAGCATTCCAAGGAAGATGGAAAGTAAAACTTGGGATAAAATAAGGAATATTAATTCTAGCAAAGAACTGTTCAATAGCATAGGATGTGATTAAAAAGCTTGCATTAGAAGGATTTATAAGAACATGTAAATTAAGAGATTTCCTGCAAGAAACAGGACACGATAAATTTGAAGTAGTTGAGAAAAATTCAAGTGGTCAAGTACTACATCAAAAATGATTGTACTTCCTCCTCTGCCTGACTGGATGCATGCGTCTTTGAGTAGAGAAATCCATCCAATCATCTTTTTCTTTTTCTTTTTTTTTGAGTTGGAGTCTCATTCCGTTGCTCAGGCTGGAGTGCTGTGGCATGCTCACGACTACCCCAGTGTCGACTTGCTGGGCTCCACGATCCTTCCACCTCAGCCTTCCAAATAGCCGGAACTACAGGTGCGCGCTACCACCCCTGGCTCATTTTTGATTTACTGTAGAGACGAGACCTCCTCAAGTTGCCTGGGCTGGTCTCAAACCTCCGGGCTCAGGCAGTCTACTCACCTCAGTTTCCCAAAGTGTTGGGATGACAGGTTGAGCCACCGAGCCCAGCCTGAATCATCTTTTTCAAAAGGCAAGAAAATAAAAGCAAGGAATAACATGAAGCTTGCTATAGATACAAAGACTGAGAGAAAAATGCAGTGCTAGTATTTCAGGAGCAAAGGAGGGAAAAAGAAAAATATTGTGGCTTTTTCAAAAGGAAAAAAAAAAGCTGAGAAGAGATGACACTGAAAAGCAAATTCACTGACTGTGTTGTAAAAAGTTCACCCATTTTAGTGAAATAAGTGAACTAGAAAAAAGAACAGGTATCACACAGTGCTGTGCAGAGCAAAGGCACTGGAGCAGCAAAGGCCTGGAGCAGCAAAGGCCTGGAATCTGGCAGGTCGTAGAGTGTTGAGATGGGGTAAAATCGGTTTTACTTTTTCAAGGGATGTAATTCTTTTCTGTGTGCCTTATTGAGCTGGAGCTCAGGGAATCCTATTTATGGGCAGACAACTTGGAGAAGGCATCTAGAAGACTCTTATTAAGCAAACATTTCATTTTGGGGCTGGGTAAACAGTGAGCTAGAGTAATTGGCTGTTCTGACCAGTGATCAGAAGGGTGGAATGAGTTCTGTTTACTAAGGGTTGTGGATAACAGGATAGAAATGGGCAGAATCAGTGCAGTAGAGAGAGTATGGGCTTGGAGAAGAAAGGACTGGGATGAATTCTAGCTCTGCCACTGGTAGGTTTATAGGAGTGTGGAGCGCCGTCATCAGTTATGGCGCACAACACAGAGCAAAATCAGATACAACAAGGTAATGATGATTATGAGAATATGCTCATAATGAGAATCCTATGCTCATTATGAGAATAAAATTATGAGAATAAAATTATGAGAATAAAATTTCATATCATAGCCGAGAGCTCTTTGAAAAATGTATTACATGCTGGCTAGGAATGACAAGAACCACAAAGATGAGGAATTGATGGTTACTGCCCCGGAGGTGTTCATAGGAGTGAAACGGAAAGAATGCAAATAATCCCGTTAAATCCTTGGTGAGGATTACCTAAACAAGTATGATGGAGAGTCTGAGGGAGAAAAAGCAAACAAGAAAAGATTTCACAGAGGATGTGATGTTTGAGATAAGGTCTTGGAAGATGGTTGGATTTGAGCAGATCTGAAGGTGCAGGACTTTAGAGGTAGAAACAAATGACCAGGGACTGCTGAGTGGAAGAATGTAGGGCAGTTCTGTTTGGCTGGAGGGTGGGAAGGGGAGCAGAGGGTCATGCCATTGTTTGGCCCACGGGTTCGAGACCCACCTGGGCAGCGAGACCTCATCTCTACAATAAATCAAAAAATCAGCCAGACGTGGTAGCACACGCCTGTAATTCCGGCTCCTCGGAAGGTTGAGGCGGAAGGATCGCCGGAGCCCAGCGGGTCGAGGCTGTGGTGGCCAGGAGCGGCCACTGCACTCCAGTCTGGGTGGCAGAGTGATACTCCAGCTCAAAAAAAAAAGAAAGAAAGAAAGAAAGAAAGAAAGAAAGACTTGTTTGGCCTAGTCAAGGAAGAAGGGAAGAGTTTTATTCCAGAAGATTATTTTTTGCTCGTGTTTTTGTCTATTTGTTTCAGTGCAGGTACGTGACACCCTGATCAGAAATCATACTTTTATTTTTGGTTGAAATACTGATTAAGGTATGAGTTAAATGAGCACCATCCATCCTCGTTATTTATGGATTCTATATTTTTGAATTTTCTGACATGGCAAGTTTTATTTGTGACCCTCAAGTCAATACTCGCGGCACTTTCGTAGTTATTTGTGGGCACGTCTATTGCAGTGAAAAATTTGAGTCACTCTATACGCAAGGTCCCAGCTGTGACTGAACAAAGAGATACTCTGTTTTCTTGTTTGCTCTCATACTGTAAACAAGTGCCCTTTTTGTGTCCTATTTAGTGCCGTGTTTTCCGCAGTTTTAGTGCTTTTTGCTGATGATTTCACTGTTTAAAATGGTCCCAAAGCATAGTGTTGAAGTGTTGTCTAGTGTTCCTGAGTGCAAGAAGGCTGTGATGGGCCTTGTGAAGAAAATACACAAGTTAAATAAGCCTCATTCAGGCATGAGTTATTGGCATAGCTTTATTCGGCATGAGTGCTGTTGGCCATGAACTCAATGAATCAACAATAGATTAAATAAAATTTCTTTAAACAGAAATGCACATAAAACAAGGTTATGTACTGAGTGGTTGACAAAAATATTGTATCCAGAGGCTTATAGAACTTAACCCTGTATTTCCCCTGAGAGCAATGGCTCAACATTCACTATTTGAAAAGACGTTATTGACCATAACTACTGTAAATAATGAGAACTGATTATATTGTATATATTTATTAAATAGCTGCCAAATACCTAGCATCAGGCCAAGAGCTGTGAATGATAAGAGAATTATATGAATTCTTATATTATTATTCATATTCTGAATCGTTGTATTATTCATATGATGAATAATATTCATATTAATATATATAAGCACCTTCTGATTTTACAGATGAGTTCATGCAAGATATTAATTCAATACATTGACTGGCTGTCTTTGGATCAATGTAATATCCTGCATGAATTTCATCTATAAAATCTGAGGGTTGGACTACAGTGCATAGCACATAAGGGGCAGCTAATAATGCTCTGTTTTGGAATCCCATGATTCTGTAGGTGAATGAAGATGGCATGACTAGTTAGCCAAATTCCAGTATCACAGAGGGGAAATTAACATAGCCAGTACGAAGGAGTTATAATGATCGCTTTTCATACTGGCTATGTATAAAGTGAAATGGAAGGGAATGAAAGAGCTGAAACACACCAACCCTAGATCAGAGTTTTTCTAGCCTTGAATTTCCCAATTATGTATTAACACTCATTTACTGACATTCATGAAACGTACTGTCAGTGAGAGATTAGGAAATGATGATGATGGTGATGCCTTATTGGGCTGAAGCTCAAAGTCCCTAAGCTGGACTTTAAAAAACCGTACACTGCCGTTTCCATGCTGTTTAAGGAATTCATTTATCTACTCGGGTAAGAAAAAAGCAAAAAACAAAGCAAAACAAACAAACAAACAAAAACAACTGTGCTTACAATCAGAAATGTACCAGCTTTTGGGGGGCAAATATTAATAACATTTTTACAATGTCAGTCAGAAAATAATCAAGCAACTTGACCTTTTACTGTTAATTTGAAAGATAAAATTTCCAGAAGCTTGTACATTTTGCATTTTTATCAATATCTTAGTTTACTTACGTATTAAACATCACTTTGCAAATATAGCTTTGTCTGGGTGGAAAAGTCACTGATGATCTCTGATATTTAAAAAACTTAATTAACAAAATGATAAAAACCCATGCAATTTCTTCAAGGAAATTCATACTGCGATGATAGTAGCAAACTGCTTCATCTAATGTCTAACAACTTTACTCTTAAATATAGAAATTTAGGAATTATTAAATGCTTGTGCAGTGTAGTTATAATGACAAAATGCTTCTTTCCTATACCACTCTATGACAAAATGTTAATGGAAGAACTGCATAGCGAACTTTTTATGCTATCATTCAAAAATGTCAGCAATACATTAGGTAAAACCAACAAATACCTTTGGAGGAGTCTCAGATCCTGGATACTCCCTCTGGTCTAGTTTCTTCCAGCGATCCATTAGTTTGGTTACCATAGGTGTATTAAAATCTACCAACTGGAATCCTGTAACATTGGCTCCACCGTGTATAAACCTCTCAAGAGAAATATCCTTGAATCCCTAAAAAATTAATATTAAAGATTGTTAAATTTGGTTATTACACACCTCAACTCTTCAACAGCAACAAAAATTATGACCAATGTGAGCATAAAAATGGGTTTTAAATAAAAGCAATGGCTAAAAAATTTGGAAAATCTAGTTATGTCAATTTAGCTGTTAAATTATGTGATTCAAAATTGAATACATGAGACATAGATATAAGTGTTCAGTTCAACTGAAGGATTTATTGAACACTATGAATGTCACTTTTGAAGCTTGAAGGGGGACACAGAAGATGATGCATACGATAGCAATAAAAAGTCTCCTGTTGCGAATACAGCTGCCCTCTGATGTAGAGATAAACAAATGTGAATTAGATGAAGATAATATCAAGATATGATGGTTTTCTGAGTCTGGGATGGGCGAGATCATTTTAAGGGATTTTGGTTTAATTACAAAGCAGTCTAAATGAAGGCAGAGCTTGTGATTTGAGCCAGAGAGGATAAAAGCTTTGATGATGTTAGTGACTGAGGTACTCAGAGTTCCGAGAAATGGTAGTACAAGAGAAGAAAGCAAGATAGGCCATTCGGGGATTCCTGTCAGTGGGACAAAAGGATAGCATCCACCCGGTGGAATGAAGAAGCTGGGAGGAAATGACACTGTCTCTTTTGGCCTAGAGGTAGCTCTCCGGGTTTCAAAATTTCTGGAAAGGCATTTATATTCTTACTTTCTACCAATCTATCAATCATGCTATCTAGCTCTAACTATTAACTATTTTCTATTATCTATTCATGTATCTATCTATATACCTATCATCTTTGCTTTATATTTGCCCCTCCCCTCCCCACCATTTAAAGTGCTTTTATAAAAGAATGCACACTCAATACAAAGTATAAAACAAACAATTGCAAGAAGAGAACAAAAAGTATATTGAGGAAGTGAATCAATAAAACCAACGTCATTAGCTCAGAGAAAAGTAAATTATACACACACACACATACATGAGTCTCTAGTATCTCTATTGCTTTCTGTTTTCGCTTGGTATTTGATAAAATTTCTTTTGATAATGTGAATATATTTTAATTTTGCTGAGGGAACTGAGATAAAAAGTTTGTTTTTTTTTCTTTGTGGGAGTAAAATGTATAGCAGGAAGCAACGATAACTTGGAGTTGCCTGTCTATCTAAAGTGTCTTGTCCATCTTTGGAACTCTCTCTCTCTCTCTCTCTCTCTCTCTCTCTCCCTTCCCCCCTTCTCTCCCTCTCCCTCCCTTCCTCTATCTCTTCCTTCCTTTCTTCTCTTTCTCCTTCTCCTCCCATTGCTGTTTGACTATCTAAGAAAAACAAGACAAGTCTACTGGCAACTGAGTAAAATTTCTGTCAAGAGGTCAAGGTATATGAGCTAATAACTAATATGGATTCTGAGCTTATTATGTTCCAGGCACTATCTAGTTTAGTCCTCACAACAAGTATGTGGCATAGATCCTATCATTAGCCTTATCCTACAGATTAGAAAACTGAGGCTCAGGGGAGTGAAGCAAAATGATTCAAGGTCATCCAGCAAATGCAAGGTACAACCAAGATTCCAGCCATACACACTGCCTCTTGAGTTGGTCTTTGCCACTTTATGCTCTTGCATACTCTCACACAAAGGTGTGTGGTTTAAATGTTATTAATTATCATAGTATCCATAGGAAAGGCAAAGTGATACCATGTACAAAAAACTAGACTTCGAAACCCACCTCTGTTACTTTCTAACCCTAAGTTTCCCACATGCAAAAAGCAGAATGATAATGCTACAGTATCTAGTACAGCTGGCTTGAGTTTAGTAAATGATCTCTATTATTAATTAACTCACTCAACATATATTTATGCCTATTAATGTGCCAGCTAAGTTGACGGCTCATCAGTAACATTCTCATTTCATTGATAAAGAAACTAGACACCAGAAAGCAAATCTATGTTTCTGAAATGGAAAAAACACTGCCCATCAATCGCCAGCTAGTAAAATGTCAGTTGAACATTTGTTTGCTTCTATCAGAGGATAGGGCAGACCCACAGGCAGGCAAATAATTCCAATGTTTTCTAAAAGCCACAGTAATTCAACTATTGCATTAGTTGCTAATTGATGACATTATTATGTTCTTTCAGTCATGGCTAAAATTGAAGGTCCGCCAAGCCTTCCTTCATAGCATATCCACAGCTGCGAGATAAACAAGCAAAGCCGCAGCCTTCAGGAAAACCATGCGATGTGAAGTCTAGCCAATAAACAACAGTCCACATTTCTCTGATTGTGTCTTTTTGCTATGTTGAAAGAAAAGGAAAAAACTACCATGTCATTATAAACCTCTTTTAGTTATGACTTGAGTGAATGGTGGATGGCTCAGTTAATTTTAGCTATGTCTATTTGAGTACAGGTAATATTTTTCTTTTTATATGTTTTCTTATAATTTGATACATAAAATGGATAGAATCTAGACCGTGAAGCGGTTTCCTTAGGAACAGTTTCTTTGGTGGCCATTTAGATTTCAATAAAATCCAAAGAATATTTGGAAACTTTGAAGGGTTTAGGGCAAAATTGTAATAAAAATGGTTACTCCTCAGTCAGCTAGAAAGATCAGGGGTTTAGTAACTAAGTAAATAATGTCTCTGAGGGCAGGAGGAAATCTGGGGTGAGGTTTACTATTTGTGAAGATGGGCTACAATGTTGCTTGAATTTCACAATGGTTAATGACCCCTTTGCAGATTAACTTCCAACTAAATTTTCCTTTTAATGTCTATTTTCAGTCCATACATCCTCTGGGGGAAAATAAAGTGTTTAAAGTTACAGGTATCAGATACCCTGATGACGATGTAGATTGGTAAATCTATCACAACATCATTGTTTAATAAATACTTATTCTTTAAGTTTTATCTGATTAAGATAACATTTATGTTGTTTTGCATTTCAGGTTCATAAGTTGACTAAATCATATTGATTTAGTCTGGTGCAGTTAGCAGAAGAAATGGCAAGTAGAATGGGGAAAATCTCTCCTTACCATCTATTAAAAACTAATTTGTTAACAAATTGACTTAAAGTACGCACTTGCATTAAAAAAATGTGTATATAAAATTGCACGTGCAGGTTTGCTGCTTGAATATTTTACTCAATGGTGAGGTTTGGGCTTCTAGTGCACCCATCACCCAAATAGTGAACATTGTACCCAACAGGGAATTTTTCAACTCTCACTCCCCTTTATGCTGTCTCCTTTTGGAGTCCCCAGTGTCTATTATTTCCCTCTGTATGTCCATGTGTAATCATTGTTTAGCTCTCAATTCTAAGTGGGTATTTGCTTTTCTGTTTCTGAGTTACTTCACTTGGGATGATGGCCTCCAGCTCTATCCACATTGCTGCAAAATACATCATTTTATTCTTTTTTATGGCTGGGTAGTATTCCATGATGTGTGTACGCCACATTTTCTCTATCTAACCATTGGTTGATGGGCACTTAAGTTGATTCCATGATTTTATTATTATGAGGAGCACTGCTATAAACATATGAGTGCAGGTGTCTATTTTATATAATGATTTCATTTTCTTTGGGTAGAGAATGGTAGTTCTATTTTTAACTCTTTGGGAAATCTCCATACTGTTTTCCATAGAGGTTGTACTAACTTACATTCCCACCCACAGTGTGTGAGCCTTCCTTTAAAGTATGCATTTCTCATGCACACACAGATAAATAGTAGAGTCAGACATGCTCAACGGAGAAAAATGGAAAAGCAGAGGAAGCCCAAAGAAAAAAGTAAAACAATGTCACCAAGTTGGTGAAATCTTAACAGGGATCATTGTCCTTGAATAAAAACATGCTAGAATGCAAATTTTGGGAACCATAACAAGTACTCATTCTGAAACTGACCAGACACCTGAATGTAAACAAGTCACCTTGCTCTCTGCATCATAATTTCTTTGCCTTCTGAATGAAGCATGAATGGTGTGAGTGTGTGTGTGGAGGGGGTGTGGTGTGATGGGAGATAGGTAAGGAATAGATCCAGTTCATCTTTAATTATATGTCCTGGACATTTATAATTTTATACTTCTTTATGATAGAGTTAGATGTTTTCTCATATGTAAACTGAATATATTTTTCAAAATTAAAAATCTACATTAGAGCCAGATTTGAAGAATTTGCCTTGCATGTGGAACCAACGCCAACAGCTTCCTGTTGACCTTTGCCATTGGTGGTCATATTTAAATTATCTGGCTGTTGGAGGAGCAGTGCATATCACTACCAACCAATGTGTCCAAGGCTAGATCCCTCTTGGGTATGAGCCTTAGGCTGTATGGCAAATACTTAAATGAATGGTCACTTGGTGCTGTTACTGCCACTTGTGTAGCATTACTCCTCATGTAAATTATTTATTTGTGGATGTATTTATTCTTTGTAATCAGACAGGCTGGAGTTTCAGACTTGACTTTGTTACTTAGGATCTGTGTGATCTTGGGTGAATTACACGGATCCTCATTTTCCAGTCTATAAAATAAACATATCTATTTTTAAGGACGAATTAAAGCAAGTATAGAAACAAAACAAACATAATGATGTAAGCTAGGTGTTAGAAAATTTCAACAAAGAGTAAGAACAAGCACGCTTTTCTTTTATCAGGTTAAAAAAAAAAAGACGTCATTTCTGCCCTCAGTGAGTTTGGTGCTAATGCCTTATTTGCAGCTGTGCTGCAGGAGGTTGGACCTTACCTGGTGCAGAGGAGGTATAAAACAATGATTTGATAAATGGAAAAAAATATGAACACATTCTATTCTATTCTCTAGTCTATATCACAAGGAGGTTTGTGCCCAGGTGAGGGACTGTCAGAGTGGTTCTATAAGGATAGCTTTCTAGAAAAAATGACTGGGACCATTAATTAGGATTGAGTGGGGTCAATGCCTCCTCGTAGAGACAAATGCCTACGCTAAGGTGGAGAAGACAAATGTAGCCATAGGTGTCCGGAATTCATTTGATTTGGAAAAGGAACAGGCAGGGGTAGGCTGAGAGAAAGACTCTGGGGTTAAGGAGAGGTAAAAATCTTAAATGGCTTTCTTTATGCATCAGGTTCAACTATAAATACTTTATCCTAAAGGAAACAAGTAGCACAGTGCTGAGGTTTTGGTGTTTGCTCTGGTAGGAGATGGCACAAGCTGGGATGTTGGATCAGAATTGGGACAGTATGTCATTTTGAGAAAAACATAAGTTCTGTAGGGAGGTGAGACACGTAAAACCCACCGAAGAACAGATCAGGAAAGAAAGGTTTAATGCCTTTTACTGTGTTTGCAGCCAGGGGCCAATGAAAAAATGTAAGCAGGGAAATGATATAAACATACCAGTCTTTAACAAATAACTGGCAGCAAGGTGAAAGAGGAACTGGGGAAGAGAGTTTGTGGGCAAGGCAGGGAAGTAATTCTCCTACTTGAATCTCTAAAAAGCAAACTACAATGAACCAGCAGACATATAAGGTTTTTCTGCTTCTAAGTCTCTTGGAAATTTCTGGAACAGAACTTAATCTATCAAGACAGCATATGCTTTCACCAGTACCTCTAGATGATAGATTTGTCTAAATAAATCATACATTCACTTACATACAAATCACATAAAGGATGAAGAAGAGAAAAAGAGATTTCAGCAAGCTTCCATGTCTTGTAAGTTCTACTCATACTTAAAATGCAAGTGTTTGATAGTGGCAGGGATAATCACAGAGAAATTTCAGAATCAGGGAGGGGCATGACAATTATTTAGATGTCAGGCACAGCTCATGCTATTCAGATAGTGTTACCCGCCTGTCGACCCTCTGGGACCCTCAGCAGGGTCAGGCTTGAGATATAAGCAAAAGGCTTCCTACTTCTTTTGGCCTGGCTGGAAGTGAGATGCCCACATACTGCAATGACTGCAAAGGTTGAAGAGATCAGTGGGACATGGAAAACATCAGTCAGGTCCCATTTCATCAGGATAGAACGGTGGCAGGAGATTGAACAGTAGTTAATTGAAGAAGAGAAGTTCAACTAACCAATAATGGCAAGAACATTTTAAATAATGGTAAATAGCATTTATGATCTATTTATATCCTTACTTGTAAAGAAATTTTGAATATTATTTTATTTAAATATGTGGAATCTGCTTTTTGTTTTTTAGGCAAATAATTTAATGACCATTACAAAATTTTGTTTCTTGGTATACAGGATTATCATTTTAAAAGAATCCAAGGAATACCTATATTTAAATTCAGCTTCTCCGAGAGAAGAACCTTAGTTAACCTTGTTTAAATGAGGGAGGTCCTTGACTTCTACAAAAATGCATGCTTGTAAATTCATGATTTAATTTCATGCATCACAGATTGATGTCTGTCTAACTTTATTCTTCACTTTTTGGAAAAAATGGCTTAGACTTCACACTTTCTACTTTGGTTTTCACCATTGTGACTACAAAATATTTTAAATCTTCTAGAATATTTGTAGACACCAAGTAGCCATAAGAATTGCTATTTTAGCAATCGATTTTCACTAAGACCATTAAATCACCCTTGAAGAGTTGGAGATGTAGCAGCTCCCCCCAGATTGCAAATTGTAATCATAAGTTATAAATAAAATTATTTTCTTAATTTAATTTTCAAAAAATTTATTGCTAGTATGTAGAAATAAAAGAGATTTTTGTTTATTAACCTTTCATCCTGCAATTCTGCTGACCTCATCAGTTTTACAATTTTTAAAAAAGTCCTTAGAAAATTTTATATACAAAATCTTCCTTCTTTTTAATCTAGAATACTTTTATTTATTTTTCTTGCCTAATTGTACATGATGGACCCTTTAGTACAATGGTCAATAGGAGAGGGACATTCTTATCTTGTTCCTTATCTTAGGAACAGTCTTTCAACTATAAGTTTAATGTTAATACAACTTTTAGTTTTGATTCAGGATTGACTTCACGTTTGAGAATCTTATGCCTTGGCCCAATTAAGCAAAAACCACTTTGATGTGGTAAGTAACAGTCCTTTAGCGATAAATAAATAAGTCAACACAAATCACATTAATATACTGTATTATAATGTAGATTTGTGCAAGTCAGTTGCTTAATCATCGTTACAAAGATATCAATCACTAAGATAAGCACTTGCTTATTTTTAGTGAGAGCGATGCTTTTCTTCTCTACTGCAAGCAAAAATGTTTTTTCTACTTTATATGTTGGCATTCTAGATAACTTAAATATGCTGTCATCAACTAGGTCTGTTTGTGACAGGCTACAATGGTCATTAGAGTGTTATATATTAATTCATTCATTTTTTTTTTTTTTTTGGAATTAGAGTCTTGCTCTGTCATCCAGGCTGCAGTGGCATGGTCACATATCACCACAGCCTCAACCTTCTGGGCTCAGGCAATCCTTCCACCTCAGCTTCCCTAGTAGTTGGGACTATAGGCATGGGCCACCATGCTTGGCTATTGGTTCCCCCCCCCCCTTGGATGTTTTGTAGAGATGAGGTCTCATTACGTTGCCTAGGCTCTTGGTTTCAAGCAATCCTCTTGGTCTCTCAAAGTGCTAGGATTATAGGTCTGAGCCACCACACCTGGCCTTCACTCCATATTGTATTGGTTTATTTACCTTGCCAACGTCAGAAGTTCATTTCTGGAATGATAGTCTATTTATAATATATTGATTTTTTTCCTCCTTAAATTCTGTTGTTTATGAGAATAGATGTCAAAACCCTCTACTTACTATGGGAGTTCAATCTGCAACTGACTATGAACAATTGATTGAGATAACTCACTACCTTTGGACAGGCCAGCTACTACAAAAACAATTAATTAGAATATCATTGTACAATGTCATTGTAAATACAGACATACCATAATATAAAGTCTTTCTCTTATGGTGATCAAAACCAGAATATATTTGCTTTAAGGTTTATAATTTTATAAAAAATATTAAAATGCCCAAACTAGAGGACTACTGAAAGCAACAAAAAAGACAAGTTAAAATTTCTTAGCATCTTCATGATAATCCACTTAGTCACAAAATTATACTTTATCCGGGAAGCAAAATATAATATGGATTCACAATATGTTGTATTTTATTATCTCAGCTTCACAGGGAGACCCAGTTCACTAAAGACTGAAAAGCTTTATCTTAAAGTGTAATGGTCTGCCTGCTTGCTACATGGAAAAAATGGGCAGATCTAAATATCTTTTGCCTCTTTTTCTCCTTTCCTGCTTCAAGCACAAGATATTCATTAAATAAATGTGATGGAAATAGAAAAAGGAGAAAACATTCTCAATTTCTCTAGGTTAAATCACTTTGGGGATCAAACCCTTAGGGTAGATGGCACTCTAATATAGCCAGAGAGGAAGGCACTCTCTGTAGCCAATTCCCTCAAACTGCAAGGTTGACAAGAAATATTTAGTAAGCTTTGCCAAGAAATCTAAAATGACTTGTCTCAGGCCTTCAAGGATATCACAAAAATGCATATATCTGTTCATTAGCTATCTGTATATAATATGTGAAAAGTTGATACAATTGTGAAAAAAATTGGATTATTCCCATTAAAAAACTTGCTTATATAATTATTATATGCTGTTATTTTTAAAATTGGAGAATATAGATGACCAGTTTAGATCATTCATATAATAACCATTATTGGCAGTCTTTATACAGAAAGTAGCATTTATCATTCAGACAAAGTCATTATTTAATTTGACGTGCTATTATAGCAAAGTAGCCATTATAATTAGTTTTAAAGGTCTCTTTGGCAAATATCAAGATGATCTGCATAAAAATACATTAAATTATATATTAAAAATATAATGGTCATTGTAATAAAACATTCCACATGTTATAAAAAACTTAGAAAGTAACGTCATCTAACCATTTATTGAAGCATTATTTTAAGGTACAGTTAAAATAATCCTGAGTGTTTGAGCAATTCTTATGGAAAGTAGAAAATAGAGTTCTTACCAAGTTTGCAATGATATAATGGTAGCCTTTGACATGCTTTCCAACACTTACGATCTGTGAAGACATAACAAATAAGACAGAATCAATTTAACGTTATTGAAAGATTATTTTTAAAAATATTAACCATTCTAGCATAACTCGATGTGAAATTATAATGGGACAATGATATATTTTTCCTTTTAAAAGTTGTGTAATCTAACTAGAAGAATTTTTAAAGCCACATTACAAATAAGTATCCACTGTACTCTAGCCTGGGCAACAAAGTGAGACTCTAGCTTTTAAAAAATGCCTTAAAAAACCACTTTTATTTAAATCATATCTATACATAACCGATTTATTTCACTATACCTCGTTCATAAAAATTAGTATATTATAATCTCTTAAAATAAAATAACAATTCTCTGAACCTACCAACAACATATTTATTTCTCAGGATAATACATTAACACAAGTGATTTTGGTTCAAAGAATGTGGACATACTTAATTTATTGATAATTTATAGAAATGTAAGATAGACTGTTCAGTGTCTTAAAAGGGTACAAATGATTATCTATGAGTAGACTGAGCATCAAGCAACATTTTTCTAAGGATCAATCTCTGTTTTCAGACATGTCTGACACCAGAGAACGCTGTTAATTCTCATCTGCATATGGACACAGCAATATTTTATGATAAAAATAAGAAAAAGACCAAGAAGCTTTTCTCTCTGCTAGATTAATTTTAAAAAAATGTTTGGAAAATTAAAAACTCAAATATTCCAAGAAAAAGCAACACTAGGAATTTTTTTAAAGTACAATTTTATGCCTGCATTAGAAATTAAAACTCTTATTCTGAAATGGAAAATTCATTCAATAAGAGAAAAATCTAACTGCAGTTACTAATAAGTAGCTTTGTAACCTCATCAGTATCTTCAGTGACAACAATGCAATTCACGATTTTCATGTACTTTCATTATCCAAGACAAAAATTAAGTTCCTTTTAGCATTTTGATAGTCTCTAAAAATAATTATTTGTAATTGGGTGACTTATGTACGAAATACAAGAAAACCCTTTTTAAAACAGAGCATATTAATTATGTTGGAAAACAGTGTTGCATACATGGCTATTGGTGAAATAAAATTTCTGTTCATCTTTTCCTTTTGAGTATATCTAGGACCTTTTTTCTTTAAAGTTCTGCAATGTCAGTTACAATTAGTTTAGCTTTTTACTTCTTAATTCCTGCTTATAATGTTTAGGATTTGCTGTATTTTTTGACTTTGAGGCTTGATTGCCCTGCAACAATTCTGGGAAATTCTCAACCAATATCCCTTAAAATATCCCTTCAATGATGTTCTGTGTTCCCTCTAATAGATACTGCAGTGTTGGTATCACTGGCCTGGGGCCTCCTTTATGATAATTTCCAGCTACTAGATTCCCAGACCACAGTGTGTGGTATAAAGTCAAATTGCAATCTGTCTAAAAGAGCAAGGCTGTCATGAAAAATTTTCAGAGAAAATATTTCCTTCATCACACCAAGCCCTGGCCAAGACAGAAGCATTTAGCTGACTCCCTCCCTATATGGGTGACAATTTTTTTTCTTTTGCTCTATTCTTTAGTTGGGCTGTTGCCCTCAGAGAGCCTTGCTTTATATTTCTAAAAACATTAAACCTTGGTCTAATTTTTTGCCTTAACTGAGCACAAAGTTTCACTTCTTGGATGTGCATTAAAATCCTCAATCAGACTACCCAATGTGGCAATTTTCTTCATCACAACTGCCTGTCATTCTTGGCCCCTAAAGATTTGCTTTACTTTTTTGGAAGTTCAACCATGCATTTGCAACATTTTATGTTGCACTTCTCCGTGTTTTATATGGCCGGGTTTATCTAGTCCATAATTTACCTAAAATCGAACTTCCCTTAAGAATCTCACCATGAAGAGGAGGACAAGCAACAAACAGATGAGATGGTAAAGAAAGTTGGGTTTATGAAACAGCTTTATTGGTCGCCCTACTGGGTGATCTAGACCTAAGTGATTTAACCTGGGACTAGCAGGCTGGAGCTGTTTTATTCTCTGGGAATCTCAGGCCTAGCTTGTGCAAAAGACAATTTGATCAGGGGGGACTTGATGGTGGTACCCAGTCGGGAAACTGTATACTCTATTACTGGGTCTACTACAGATTCTTGCTATTTGGCCCCAGCATGGCGTCTTGCCACTCAGCAATCCATTATTTATCTCTTGCTGATTCACCATGACTTTCTCTGGTGTGGCTATTTAAGCCTCTTTGCACTGTCTCTAAGCCCTCACACCCACCCTGCCTCTTTTCTTAACGCTCTCAGCTTGTGATTTCTCTGTGACTGCAGTCAAAAATCTGTGCCAATTTTACAAAAAAAAATTCACTGTAAGGTACAAACACTTGTAAATGTTAAAAGGATGTGGAGCCAGTAGAAATTCTGTGTTGGGTGTTTCCATAAAGAAATCACTGCCAGTTCTAGACTGCCTAGCAATGAGCAATAATAAATGAAAGCTGATACAATACATTTTCAAAGGGTAAGGACTTATAAAACTCCAAGCAATTGGAAGGGACAAAAATCCTGGCACAAAAGGCCTTGCAGGGTTCGACAGGTGGCAACATTCTGGGGGCTGAGGGCCTCAGGGAGAAGAATTGGGAGCTGTATTTACCTGACTGGTGATGCTAGAGACAGCACATCTTTGCTGAGCTAGATCTTGGCTGGGAGAATGCAAATATGCTGCACCAACTGCTGTGATGGTCTCGCTGCCTTTGCACAACAGAGAATTCACCCACTATTCCGACCTGGGATGGTCATGGCTTAAAGCCAGATCTTGTTCCCCCTGCCAAGTATCTATCACCAGATGGAAGTTTCTTTGTGAAAAATTTAATTTACACTCCATTGAATAGTGTCCTGTAAATAGAGTGTTGTTTAAGTTATTTTTAAATGATTGTGTAAAACTGACAATGCCATGGTTGTGATTTTACGTAGCTTTCATAATCTCAACCAAAGTGAAGACTATCTTATGTAAAAAAATAAAATTTGAGTGACTTGACTTTGGATACAGACCAAACCTTATGTCTCTATGTATTTGATGTTATTCTTTTATAAATAGGGAAAAGAAACAGTCTGAGATGAAAGAGATGAACATAAAATAGCACTGCCTTCATTCAAGTATGGTTGACTGAGTTGTCATGGGAAAACAATGCCTAGAGTGAGTACTTGGTTGCAAAAATTAATTATGGCTTTTCATACAGACAGAAAAATATAGGGCCAGAGCATTCTGCATCTTTTATATTTAAAAAAAACTACAGAAGAAACAACTAGACAAAGACTAATGATCAAGTGTCTGCTTATACTTCTGTAGAACAGATTAAGAAGGATATGCAAGTGATATTGATCATACACTCTCAAAAGAGCTCATCCTTACAAGAATAAAATGCTTAAGAGAAGTGACTAACTGATTCCTTTAATTACTTTTTTCCTTCTTTGTTTTTTTTTAAAGAAAGAAACAGCTGTTTAGAAATATCTGTAGTGTTGGTCAAATAATGAATCAGCCTATATATTTTAATAGGGTAAATGCCAGGGACAAACACTGTAATTGTTTTATTGACAAATGATGGCATAGCCAATCTTTATGAATATTGCTTCTGAATCTTTATTCATTGATTGAAGTTAGAGAATGATAAATCCTGGACACTTTCCACCTTCACCTCACCTTTCAGTTCAATTTAGCTTAACAAATGTCAATGGAGAGCTTCCCATCTATAAGATTAGGAGATTCAGGGATTACAAAGATAAACCAGTCCGTGCTGCTGTTACAAGGGTGTTTATTATCTCATAAGGGGAAGAGACTCAAACAGAAATGACTGAAATACAGAGCAGGGGAAGAAAGCAGAGTGCAGTGGGTTTCAAGAATGATATCACTTGCTTGGGAGAAGAAGGGGGATTGTAAGAATGAATAGACACTAAACAAAAATTGATTGAATGGAGAAATAAAGAAACTAATGAGGTTATAAATGTCATAAACATTAGTATATTAAGATCGAGTTGAGTCTTCCAAATAAATGAAAGTTTTGCCTTTAATCCACAATCAGATTTTATGTTAATCTTTTGCATATCAGTGATTTATAAAGTACTCAGGGGGCCTTCTATAAAAAGTTTCTGTTTATTACCTCAAACTATTACTACAAAGCTGAGATCCTTCCATTGAACACTGCCTTCTAGCTATAGATATGCAATAGTACACTCTAAATAATTTTCATTTCTCTTTTAATTTTATCTCATAAATCAGCTGGAAATTCCTCTCCCAGTTCCAGATAACTCAGTGATATGGAGAAAACAGTGCAACACGTTTGGAAGTGTTAGGGCCAAGATCCTGTTAAGTGTTGGAAATTTCTTGTGTGAAGGCAGTCACTCTTACCAATCCTTTGTTTTTTTCTATTGGAATTCCAAATTCCCAAATGTTCCCTGAATGCTGACTTTTGAAATGCTTCAGAATATTTTACTGCAGATCAAAATAAAAGCTTTAGTTTTACTTCAGTTCCATCAAAAGAAAAATTTAAGGCAAGGAGCTCTTGCAAACAAGCTACAGACTTATACTACACCCTCACAGCAGGACTTTATAGTTCCAGGCTACGATGTACAAATGAGGTGAGAAAAATAAAGTACTTCAGAGCTCAAATAACTAAGGCTATTGAGTGTGGGAAGAGATTTAGGAGGAAGATAGGGAATGTGAGCGTCTACCAAATATTGTAAGAGAAAGAAATATGCACATGTACATACACATTTGTATGTGGAGCTTTGTTTGTATGCACATATATATTTGTGTGCATGTGTGTGCTCGTATTTTTTTTTTTTTTTTGAGTTGGAGTCTCACTCTGTTGCCCAGACTGGAGTGCAGTGGCCGCTCCCGGCCACCGCAGCCTCGACCTGCTGGGCTCTGGCAATCCTTCCACCTCAGCCTTCCGAGTAGGCAGAATTACAGGCATGTGCTACCACGCCCGGTTGATTTTTTGATTTATTGTAGAGATGAGGTCTCGCTGCCCAGGCGGGTCTCGAACCCG